ATTTCATAATTTAAATTATTTACTTCAAATTTCTGTTTTTCAGGTTGAGTTTGACCAATTTTATTCTTTTCAAATTTCTCTTTCAAGATTCCTGTTAGTAACATTTTATTTTTCAAGAGCCAACATTTGAAATTAAGAAAATGGGATCGCAATTTTGAAAAGAATGAAATTCTTAGAAATAAAATTAACCATTATTTTTTTTAATATATATATAAAAATAAAACATTAAAAGAATTGCTATTCTCAAAACAGTTTTTGATTGAAATATTGCCCAGTTTAATTTCTGGATTTCATTCTTCTTAAATTTCCATCTCAAAAATGAGTTGTTGTTTTTTTTACACCAATAATGGAACAAAATTGACTCCATATTTGTGTTGGTGAAGGTAACATGATGACCTCCCACAGCATCATGATCAACCCTCTGAGATCCATTGCAGTTCTGATCCCTGCTGAAGCCGTGTTGGTGTCTGCTTGGACTCTTCCGGTTCTGAAACCTGCAGGAGCTGGAAGGCCTGAGCTCCAGGGAGGTCCAGGTGATGCGGCTGCCCGTTACTCAGCAAGGAGAGCTGGATGCTCTGGCTGTGTGGTTCCAGCTCCATCTGGACCAGGAGAACAGTCTATCAACTGGACCACAGGAAGATACCTGCTGGGAACAAGCCATCTACCCGGTCCACAGTGCGCCGGGTAGGATTAGTCCTTGAGTTACTGTTCTCTCAGTGTGGGCATTTTGTTTAGCTTTTCAACTTTGCTTTTTGTGTCAAAAACCCACAGTTGCTTCAGAGGCTGAGAGCTAATCAGCCTCTCTCTCTGCATGTTCTTCAAAACCAGTAAAACCAGCTGATTTTTTTATTACGGCTCACAGGGAACTGGAAAGTTAATCATTAAACTGGATTTGATTTTCAGTTCAAATTACTGTTTATCTCTGTTTCCTTTATGGAGGCCCTTAGATCAGCAGCTGACGTTAGTTGAAGTGTACAAGCTGCAGTTCCCCCTTTTTAACGGGAAGAAACCTCCAGCAGAACCAGAACCAGGCTCGGTGTCAGCGGCCTTCTGCTGAGGCCGACTTGGTTTCAAAGAGAAAGAAGCAGAAATAGAAAAGGAAAACAGAAGCACTAATCTATAAATACTCTATGTTTGAAAAGCTAATGCTAAACTAGCTCAATAGGTGCCTCTGTCTGGGAAAGAAACTATTAATCAGACGAACTCTTAGCCAATTTTCATGTCAAATGGTGAAATAAAACACTTCCAGTTAGTGACAGTAAAAGCTGAGCCCATAGCTAAGTTTAGGAGAGAAACAGGACTAAACACTGAAAAACAGGCCCAACTCTATCATCTATGATCAAAGGTTTTGATGGCAGCAGCACAGCTGATATTTCTCTCCAGGATGGAGTCACAGCCAAACAGGAACAGACCAGATGAAGCTACTATGAGAAAGCAGAGAGAGCAGAACGTTAGAGACTGAACTAACAGATTCTGCACAATAAGGGATGGAATGATGAAAAGGGGTCCCTATGTCCTCCAGCAGTCTAAGCCTATAGCAGCATCACTATAGAGATAGCTCAGGATAATCTGAGCTCTAACTATAAGCCTTATCATAAACGAAAGTTTTAAGCCTAGCCTTAAAAGTAGACAGGGTGTCTGCCTCACGAGCCTCCCATTCTACTTTAAGAAACTCTAGGAACCACTAGTAAACCTGCAGATTGAGTGTGAAGTGCTCTGTTAGGAACATAAGGAACAATCAGATGGAGCTTGGCCATTTAAGGCTTTATAAGTAAGGAGGAGGATTTTAAATTACATTTTAACAGGAAGCCAATGAAGAGAAGCCAGAATAGGACAGATATGATCTCTCTTTCTTGTTTTCATCAGAACTCTGGCTGCAGCATTTTAGATCAGCTGAAGGACTTGCAGTAAAGAATTACAATATTCCAGCCTTGACTAGCAGCAGGTCACTCCTCCTATTTAGTTAAATCAGGCACAGAGGAGATGCCACCTTTTCCGCTAGTTTGGGATACGCCCTGAAATCCTGGAAAGCCTTTTAGCTTTCATGAAAGTTTAATGATCAGTAATCTTGCGTCACTCCAAATACCTCAGCAGAGAACGGCTGATGTTCCAGCAGGAATCTTCTCATTTTCTGCATCTTATTTTCTCACATATTTAATACTTTTATTCAATCAAGCAGGATCAGGAATGTAAATAATGCGTTATATTGTATATATGGGTGAATAGATGTTATGCCTTAATTGTATCATTATGATGAGGGTTTTCTCGTCTTCAGGTTTTGTGCTGAAGCCAGGAGACGAGCTGCTAGTGGAGGTTTCCTGCCATGACGCCTACCTGAGGCTCGGCTGCGTCGCGGTGCTGAGGGACGGCCGTAAGCTCCACCTGGACCAGCGTGTGGATCCTCAGAGCTCTATGAAACCTGGGCCAAACCCAGAAGTTGAGCTGTGCAGCGCGCTAGCAAGCCTGCAGACTAGTCAGAGAGAATCTGAAGACTTCAGTCTGCTGGAGTGTTCGGAGATGGCGCTCCTGAACTACCAGGATTACCATCAGAGCTTTTCCCTGGCGTTAACCAAACTTATTTCAGAAATGAAGCTTAGAACTCAGAACCTGAGCAGCGCAGCCTGCGCCGCAGCAGACGCCAGCTTACTCTACGTGCTGGACGTGTCTGAAGGCTTCTCTCTGCTCCCCCTCATTGCTGCCCGCCAGGGGGGAGTAAAAGCCTACAGCTCCGTGGAGAAGACCAAGCAGCAGAACGTCCTGAGGAGACTTGCTGTGTCCCACGGCGTCCCTGAGGAGCATCTGGAGTTCTGGCTGAACCGCGCCGAGGACGAGCAGGGGGTCTTACAGCGGCCATCCACGGAGAAGCTGTGGAGCGCCATCATCCTGGACTGCGTGGAGACGTGCGGGCTCATCAGACAGAAGCTGATGGAGAAAGCTTCGCTGGCCAGGTCAGAACCAACACCTGGGTTCCTTTAGTTCTCACAGTGGAGAAAAGCGTCGGCTATAGAAGGAACGCCGCCGTGGGGCAGACGGTCATTTCCTGTCTTTGTTTTAATGTTTGACATCGGACCACAGATGTATGGAGGGAATGTTGGTCTGGTAAATAATCCAGAATGAAAGTTTGAAAAAACTTTTAATCAAAATAAGGTTTTTAGAGGGACTTAAGTTTGCTGTTTACTCATATCATGAATTTTCTCATTTTTATTATTTTTTTATATTTTCAAACATTTTTTTTTTACAGATTTTGTATTTTTCTTATTAACTTTCTTATTTTCAGATTACGTTTTAAAAATTCAATTCTATTTAATTGCATTTTCTAGATCAGGTTCTATTGGTCTGCTGGACATGAGCAACATTTTATTGGTCAAGAGGGAGTGTTTGGATTGGGCTGAAAGGGAAGGGAAATAGATCTGTAAAACTTGGTTTGAAAACAATAAAATTCACGAAATGATCTGAAACGGAAGTAAAAGATTAAAATATAAAATCTGGGGGAAATTTTTTTTTTCAAAATATGTTTTCTTCAACAATAATGGAACAAAAATCCCTCCATACAGCCGTCTGTAAGGCAGTGGTTTGAATAGCTGAGTATTTAACATCTTTTCCATATCCAACATGGAACCGTGTAGCAGCCCATCCTGCTTTGCTTCCACCAGGTTTCTGTTAGAGGAAGGAGGCCGTATTTTTCCAGAGAAGATCGTGATCCTGGGGATGCTGGTGGAGTCGGACACCCTGCTGATGGAGAGTGCTGTCCAGGGCCGGGATCCCACGCTGGGATTTAACATCGCTCCTTTCATCAATCAGTTCACTGTAAGTATTCCCGCTATCTGGGAGGGGATCCAACAACAGACTTTAAGAAATATTCATTTTCAGTGCAAAAATACTGTAAACTGTAAACTTTTTTTATAAAACTTTTTTGTTTATTCTGCAATGCAATCAGGGTCCTAAATACGTAAAAATGTTTATATTAATGTCAACATGTTCAACGAGTCGGGGATTCTTTTCAAATTAGAAGTAAGACAACTTTCCCATGAAATAGGTTGATGTTCTTTTAAAAGAATTAAAAGACAACTTGGTTCTCTTTAAGTGCATAATATCTGGTAGATATTGTTTAGTTGGTCGAATTATTGGCAGATTCGCTGATTTCAAGGAATTTTATACTTTAGATCAGTTTTTTCATCATGCAGGGGAAACGTGTTGCAGTGCATAAGCCAGCGGCAGAACAGAGGTTTTACCTTCATGTTTGATGCAGCCGGTCAGATGCTAAAAGGCCCAGAAATCAATCTGGAATGATCCGAACATCTAAAGGAGGAGTTTGTACTCCTGCTGTTGAAATGCTTTTTCTTTAACCCCAGTCAGGTTTATGGAGGAAAAACTACCTGAGCCACTGCAGAACCGCCCGGCCACCTGCTGTAAGCAAGGAAGTTTATGGATTCGAATCGATAAAAGAAAATGGATCAAATGTAAAGTGTATGTAGCATCAGTGTTGGGAGCGTTACTTAAAAACAGTAAATTTTTATAGATACTTTTCAGTTACTGCTTAAAGAAAGTAACTAGTTACCTGCCAAAGTAACTATGCAGTTATTTTCTGATCTAAACTTTCTTGTTATTAGAACTTTAAATACAACTAGAGGTTTAATTATGCAATATAAGGTGTTTGTTATTAATCAAATAAATAATTTAAAGTCCACATCTGAAAACATTTAAAACTAATCTGAATCATTTTGATGTGTGCAGAGTTGCGCTATATTTATTGATAATAAAAGAAAAAATATGATTTTTTTAGAACTTTATATATTTTTTTAGAACTTTATATTTTCAGCAGCATTGAATGATCCCAGGATTTCTGTGTCAATAAACGTAAACCATGCCAGTAAAATCATTATAGCCCTGAGAAATAAGTAACTAGTTGCCGTTAACATGTACCTTAAAGTCGTAGGGAAGTCATATTTAAATGTCAAATCATTCTGGCTTAAACATATGTATAAAGGTACTCTTTATCAGACCATATTTTCCAAAAAGTTAGAAAATTTCTATAAAATAAAAAAATCCTGTCTTAAAATCTGTTTTTTTTTTCCCCCGTTATCTTATGCAGGCCAGTTACTTATATGTCAGCTTGTACACCTAAATTCGGCCAATCACATATCAATGGCCATCTGTCAATCTAATATTTTCGGTCATAGCATCTTGGTTCATATGTCGCAGCTAATATACGCAATGGTTGAAATAAGAATCCTTTCCTTTCCCATTGAGTTCCATCCCAGTGCTAACGGGGATGGACGTCTGTGTCTTCAGCAGGCGTAGAGCTAACAGAACTGGCAGCGTTGCGAGGCAAGGGCTCAAAC